CTGCCTCTCTCGCATATAGTCAAAACCGGTCCTCTACTTGTTTGGTTGATAATATAATTTATGGTTAATTGAGTTATTGAGACATGTTTTTTTTGTTTATTTATTCAAATAATTTTTTGTGTTGACATACAATTTTTTTTTAAAGAGTATTTTATTTGAAATTATGTATTTTTTTTTAAAGCTGCCTTAGTTTTTTGTTTGTTTATGTGGAATTTTTTTTCTTAACAAATACACTTTAAGATTGTATAATCTTATCTACCAGTTTGGCTAATTTTATTTTAAACAGTTGATAAGCTCTTACGCCTGATAAGATGTTTTAAGAGTTGATAAGTTGTTACGTCTTATTTTTAGAAATAATTTTTAAATTGTTTGGATAATAAGCTTATATGCTAATTTTACTCACTATATATAAGATCTTAAATAATAATGTGAGGTAGATGTATTTTTTTGAAAATGTTTTAATTGCTCTCCAATAGCTTATTTAAAAAAAATTAAGATCCTTTAAAGAAAAAATACTAAACACTTTGAAAGAACTTATAAACTTTTTTTAACATCTTATACACTCAGCCAAACACCATCTAAAACCTATCTCGAAAATCAAAGGATCCAATAAAGTGCATGTTCATAATGCTTTGTGGTCTTATGATCTTATCTACCATGGGAGAATCACTTACTTGTATAGTGAAAGAATAATTTGCAATGTTCCCTCCAAATTCTAAGGCCAAAACTTGGAAAAAAGACAAGCACAATGGCAGAAATAAAGAAACAATGAATCCCACTCACTAGAATAGCTATTTAACTTATTTGGCCAATCATGAATCAATACCTGTTTTTCACTATAATCCTACAACTACCAACAAATCATATTAGCTTTAATTTACTAAAATGTAAATAATAATTTATTTATTTCATAAAAAAAGAATTAAAAAAACAATATAGTATCAATATATTTGATGGGCTAGCCCAATAACCCACATAACTAACCCATAGAAACACATGACATACCAATAGACTAAGTTGGTTCATTCCAATGTTGGCCTTATACCAATAATTAGGCCTACCTAAGTGGACCCTAATTTATAAAGGATAATTTGTTATTTGAAAAATATATTGAACTAATTAGTATAATTACTAATGAGATTACATCCTTGGTGATTCTCGATTTTTTCAAAATTTGACATACTCCCTCTGGCGTATAGAGTATCTATTATACTATTATACCCTTTAGAGAATCACATCAGAACCTAGCCAATCACAATCGCCTCTTTCTATTTATTTTTCCTCCCAGTTCCAAATTTACGCCTCATAGTTTTCCGACCGACAATGGTGTTCTCGGAGTCATAGTTTTCTCTTCGGCGGTCGGACTTTGATGGTTTAACTATTGTTGTATTCCTCTCGTTTAGCTCTTTCTTTTGATGATAATTTCGTACGTTTTGGAGCTCTGTATCTGATGCTTTGGTCATTTTACCGTGCATGTATATTTCGACGATGACAGTTCCTCTTGGAGAGGTATCTTATTTTCTGGCGGTCTAAATTTGACCGTTTACGCACCGTTGGATTCCAATAGGCGAGATCTATCTTTTGGTGTTGCTTTTGTTCAATTTTGATAGCCAAATTTGTTTCCGTGATTTTTCCCTTTATGTGCGTTGAACCTTAGGTGGTCGGTGGAGTTTGGTAGGAGGCGTTTGAGGTGAGGAGTCCTTTGCGGTTTGGTCTAAAATTTCGTAGCATTTTGCATCTATGGGCTTAAATTTTGTTGATTTGGAGTGTTTTGAAGCTTTTTCAATTTTTGTTAACTTGCACTAAAATTTAATTGAAATAACCCAATGTTATCAGTCTTGTTTTCCCAAATAACATAACCAAATATATTTTCCTTTTTCGTTGGTTTTACAATTGCAGTTAATGGAAATCATTGATTTTCTCCTTAAAGATGCCAAAAATCTGGTTGAAACTGTAAACGAATTTGGCGAATTTCACATTCTTTCAAGCTATAATCAACTACATCCTGCATATTAATACATATGACTATACTCATGTGGTCATATATAGTAACATATGCACGTGATTCTGTATCTGGATATGTATTTGTTGGTTACAAAAATTTATAATATAAATATAAATTATGTATTTTGTTGTTGATGTTGATGATTTTTTCTCTCTCTCTATATATATATATATATATAATTGGTGATATTTGTAGTCGTTTTTTGTCCAATAAACATATCACAAAAAAATGTTTTTCAGAAAAATATAATTTGTTTTTTAAAGTAAATAAATAATAAAAAAATCAAAAAGAAAAATATATAAATAAATATAACAAAATAAACAAACATATTTTTATTTAAAAAAAAACAGCGAAAATGACATGCAGGTCAAAAAATACTAAATACAAAAAGTGAAAATGTTGAATGCAGATATATGAAATTACATATGATGGTAGCATAATCCTTATATCTCTCGAAGGGATCCTTCAAAATTTATTACGATTAGATTTTTCTCTAATTTACCGACTCATTTGGGGTATGTCAAATGCACCCTATTAAAGTATTCAATTTTCATAGTTGAATTCTTTCAATCATAGATAGCCAAAATCTGCGACTGAGTTCACGTAAACACTATTCAACGATCCATATATAAGACATATGTTACTGCAAGTCAACGTGATTAATAAATAATAAATATTTAATATTTGTCTTCCCAATTCGAATTCAACATGACAAAGTTTTCGTCGTATTTGAGTAATTGATTACGCAGGTATATATACTGGTCAACGTCCTTATATTTATCGGGTAAATTAAAACCACCCTCTGAGCTATGGTCAATTTAAAAAAAAATCCCTCTTGTTTGGATAATTACATCTACTATCTCAATCATAATTTTCTTTACATATCCACCCTTATGATGTCAAATTCAACATAATCATCTAGTTTGTACTCGTTTTGTGTAAAATACAGTTTCTGATGCACAACAATCTGATATATACAAGCCAAAAAACACATATTATGATCACCTTACTTCAAAATGTAGAGTTCGAATGGAATAAAACGGGTACAAAAGTGATAACATTCCACATAATCTCGAAGATTTCACTAAATTGAGGAGTTGAGGGGGTGGTTGTAATTATCCAAACAAGAATGGGTTTTTCATAATTTGACCATACCTCAGGGGTGATTGTAATTTATCCTATATTTATCTCTCAAAACATTTTTTATTTTATTTTATGGTCACCACATCATCATAATTCACAATCCAATCATAAGTTAAATAACAAAATATGTAGAAAACTTAAAACGGATAGAGATTTGTTAGATTAAAAGGTCAAATGCGTAATCTTCTTTAATTAATTGATATTCAAGTGTCAAATACATGTAATCTTCTTTAATTAATTGATTATATAATACGCATTAAGAAAGATTTATTAAAAAGGTCGGCGATGAATAGTAATTATTCCTATATGGAGTACAAAATAGGGCGGGATATTAGAAAATAAAATGGGCAATTTATTATCCGAAATGTTTAATATCGTTTCAATTTTACCAATATTGTTTGAGTGATGTTATTTCCATCTCCAAAGTATCTTAATTCACTACCAAAGATCCTCAAATTTATAATCCACCACCCTTCCTTATATTTACTTAATCTTTATGTGTCCTAAGTTATTTCTATTTTTTTTTTAATTTTTTATTTTATTTTTTGCAATGAAATATTTATTACAAGATATTTAAACTTCCATATCAGATGATATTACAGATTATGTTACTTTTTTTAGAAAACAAAATTATATTAAGCAAAATTCAGCACTTCGGGAGGAAGTTCATGGCCTTCCATACAAACAATCTTAATTTATTTCTCAAAAAACGTGAATTCCTGCTATTTTTGACATTTGAAAATATTTTTCTCTAATGAAAATATTATTCACTTAGGGTGGAGAGGGTGAGATTTTTAGTGAAAATGGTAGGGTTTTTTTATAAACATTTTAATTAGTTTAGTGGTAGATAGTTTATAAATTTGTAAAAAATATAGATGAAAGAAGAAATGGGTAAAATGGGAAATATATTTAATTTGGTGGTGAAATAAGATATTTTGAAGGGTGGAAATAACACGTCTTATATTGTTTTGAATTCAAACGTATCTTGACCTTTTTCTAGTTTGATTTTTAGCAACATTCAAGACACATGAATTGTAGAGTTAACTTTTAATCTGTCCCGAAAAAAAAGTTAACTTCTAATCCATCTTGAATCAGTTAAATTGAATATCGGATGACAAAGTTTACATAAATGAGTTAAATTTTCAATTTTTTATACATCAAAGTTGTGGGTAATGTTCATTGATTCATGATGGATTACAACCTTGTCCATTCATGATGGTTTACAAAGATTACCAACTCAAAGAACTACAAAATACGTGTTTAGAGTTTTGCCCAGTCTTGGGTCGAAAATTGTCAAAATCATGTTTAAAATCAAAACGGTATAATTAAAATTGAAACGACATTTATCACATTTCATTTATTATTCTTGTGATAGAAAAATAGAGAACAGAAAGCTAAACTGTAAAAAAAGAGTAAGTCAAATTGATATTAACAATAATTATTAATTTTTTTAAAAAAATTAAAACAATACTTATCTTGTTGATTTATAAAAGTTCGTGTTGATTTCACGAATAAACACAAAATAATCACAAAAATAATGTACATTGAATAAAAGATCATGTATACAGTAGAACCTCGATAAATTAATACTCCATAAATTAATAACCTCGACTAAATAATAATTTCTCTCGGTCCCGATTCGGTGAAAACGTGTTAAATTATTAACTCGATAATTTAATAATTCGCTAAATTAATAAAATTTCTCTGGTTCCGACTGTATTAATTTATAGAGGTTTAGCTGTATATGAAGAAAGTGTGTACTGAGGAAAAATCAACACAATGCATGTCTTTGTTTTGTATATGAATACTTCATCAAAGGTATTGAAGAATATATATATATATATTAAGCACATTCAAATCAAAATGAAATTGAAGATAATAATCCCAAAGTATTAGAGAAATGAGTGAATTCAAGAAAATACTAAGATAAATTAAGATCACTTGCTAACACATTACAGCCACAATAGAACGAACTCGTAAGAACCTTCTAGAAAGAAACCCGTAACGGAGGAAATAAACACGAAAGAAAAACGACAACAACTAGGTCTAAAGTTCTCTAACACCACACAACTTTAAAAAAAAAAAACCAACTGGAAAAAAGATTCTATCATGCTTCAAATCCTCATCTGCAAAAAAGAAAAAAAAAAATGCAAATATAAAACCTTTATTGTCAATTGTTAAACGCAATAAATTTTCATAGTGATAACAGTTTAAAGGTTTAGGGTTCGAGTCCCCCTCCCCTACTTCCCCTTGTAAATGAATTAAATTTACTCCAAAAAAAAAACACAATTAATCAAATTCAAAACACCAAATGCCGATAATTGCGGTGAAGTTATAAACCATTCTGAATCCTGTAGATTTTTTGAAATAACCTCGTTTGAAATAATAATTTCTCTCGGTCCCAACTCGGTGACAACATGCTAAATTATTAATTCAATAATTTAGTATCTCGTTAAACTAATAGAACTTTAACAAAGTAATAGAACTTTAACAGTTACAAACTACCGCTTTGTGAAATTTTTTTTGTTCCAAATTATCTGTCACTTTGGAATTTCAATGATGCATTAATTACTATTTTTCCAATTTTGCCCTTATTACTATTCATTAATTGGGAGAGAACTAATGAAAACGACATTAATAACATGGATATTTTAGTCATTCTATATATTTTTCTCTAAAATCGACACACATTTTTTATTTTTCTTAATATGCGCGCAACAACCCCAAGCAAGCGACGCATATTTTGGCATGTGGGGAATGTGTAGCAACATGTAATATTCACATCAAAATCCATTTGAAAATGATAAATTAATTTAGAAAATGGGATGGATTTAATTTCGAAATTAATAACCATACAACAAAGGAATGAAGGATACATAATCATTTCAATTTAATTTTGAACGTTTATAATAATTTCCATAAAATGGTGATGATTTCAAGATTAAACACAAAAACACACACACATAAATAAATAAATAAATAAATAAATAAATGGAAATTGATTTAACTAAAGAGTAATTACCAAGGAGAAGATCTCTACTTGGTGATGGCGTACACAGCGTAGATTATTCCAGGCACGTAACCAAACAGCGTCAATATCAAACAAATCCAGAACTCAATCTGTACCCATAATTAACAACAAATTCATCATTTTTTTCAATTAATTTTTTCAATTAATTAAATAGATTTACAGATTTAAAAATAAAAAAAAATAAAAAATAAAATAAAAAAATTACCCCGCAGCCGAATCTGAGGAAAACGCCAAGAGGAGGCAAAATGATTGCCACGAGAATGTCGATGAAAGTTGCTGTATTGTCCGCCATTGTTTTTTCTCCTTCAATTCGATTTGATTTAATTTTCACGAAGAAATTTATTTATTTATTTATTATTTTTTGATGAAATTATGAGATTTAGAAGAATTTTGGTAGTGGTGGTGAGTGAGAGAGAATTAGAGGGGGTTAACATATTTATAGGGGGAGGGGAAAACGTGATGGACGCCGTGTACCACGTGGCGGGCGCTGATTGGGCGGTGTGTTTTCTTCTGCGTTTGCTTATTACCTGTAGTGATTTGGTTTTCCTAATTATTAATTAGTGAGAAAAGATTAAATTATGTGATTTTCTTTAAGGTAAGGAATTCGAATTAGATGCGAGTACCGTGTACAGCTCACCCTCCTTAGTAATGGGGCCACGTGTCATGTGATGACCTTTCGGCCCTGTGGGACCCGCTTGGATGGGTATGAAATGGGGTGAAAGTTGGATGGATCGGATGAGAATTAGCCTTTTCGGAAGATTTCGAAAAAAAATCGGAACTACAAAATCAATTCAAATTCCAATTTTGATTCGAAAATTTTTGGAAACTAAAAATTCATACCAATTCCAAAAGGTCCTTGAATTTCGAAATTTCGAAATTTCAGAAAATAATCGGAAATCACATGAATTTTAAAATTTGAAAACTTAACGAAAATTTTACGTCGATAAAAGTAAAACTAATGACTACTAAACTTTAGTTTGAAAATATAAATAAAACTAAACCACATCATAATATTCAATAAAACTTTTAACACCAATTTAATATGTCTAAATTCAAAAACAAAATTTAAACTAAATTACTATTTCAGAAAACAAAACATAAATTAAAACAAGTATTAGATAATATATTATATTTATAGGTGTATTTTTCGAGAAAAAACGGAATTTTTCGGAACTAATATCGGATTGGAAATCAGAAATTCTAATTTTTTATTATATAATTCCAATTTCAATCCAAAAAAAAATCGAAAAATGGGAATTTCGGAAGTCGGAATGAAAAAAAATGTTCCTAAATCGGAACTTTTCGGATCGGAACCGGCAGAAATTGAAATTTTCGTACCAACTTGCACCCCTAGGTATGAACTATGAAGTGTGTTTATCGGCTTATGAAATCTTACACCACGTGAAATACACGATGTAATTTTAAACCATAGATCTGAATAAATAACTACTCGCAAAACCACATACACATGGGTGTGTGTTATTATGTGTAGAACTGTAGATCAATGGTATAAAACTACATAGTGTATTTCACCAGTGTAGGTTCTACAAACCTATGATCCTCCCCGATCGTCTATCGAGTTTTAGTTAATTGAAAAGTTGTTTATAAACTAAATTTTAGGAAATTTACAGTTTTCATCCCTTAAGTTTGTACTGACCTCACATTTGATCCCCATGTTCATAAAAAAAATATATTTGGTCCCTCATGTTTTAATAATTTAACACTTTTGGTCATTTTCGTCAATTTACCATATTTAGTTCGTTAGTGATGCGCGCAAGATTGATTATGTTGTCCTGCAAGGGGTGACCTAACGGTTGGAGCAAGTGAGCATGTGTCAATTGATCCAGGTTCTAATCCTCTTGCCAACAGGCGCTAGGTGGAGTTTGTCATACATGATTAGCCTAGTGTGGTTTACGTCTCTCGTAAGAGTATTATACGAGAGTGTAGGTTTACCCGGTGCACTTATATGGTTGGCTACGGGTTCCTTCATTACTAAAAAGAAAATGATTTTGTTAATGCTAACGAAAAACTGACGAAAATAACTAAAAGGGTTGAATATTTGAAACACGAATGATCAAATATATGTTTTTATGAATATGGGAGACTAAATATGAAATCAAACTGTATTTATCCGTGTTAAATTTGTTGTCACAATTAAAATGTTGCATCAGATTAAGTGTTAGATAATTACGGTAAGCAAAATAATGTAGTTCCTAAAATTAACAGATTTCGATACACCCTCCTTAGTATGGGCCCACATGTCATGTGATGACCTTTTGGCCCTGTGGGACCCGCTTGTATTCGTATGAACTATGAAGTGGATCCTCGGCTTACCGTATTCTATACCTGAGAAAATACACCATATGATTTTAAACCGTAAATCAATATGAATAACTATCTGTCACACATAAGGCTGGGCATGGATCGGTTTTATCGGCCCATCGATCCACTTTCGACCTGCTTTTTTCGGCCGATAATTTTGTTGTCGGGCCGATAATTTTAACCGATCTAGAATAAATGGTCGGTCGATGGTTTTCAGTTTACTTAAAAGTCGTTGATTAGGTAATATCGGCCTATCGACTTTTTTAATAATTTTCTTTTATTATAAATATTTAATTGTAATTCTTATTTTTTTAATGTTAAAATAATATATAAAAGAAGTAAAAACTCAAAACATAAATTTATAAACCTCTCCGCACTATTTCTATTTTATATTATTTCATATTCTTCATTTACTTATTGTAGAGTTTAATAAAAAAAGAACTCTTAACTTTAAAGTTAGGATTTTCACTAACATAGGTTTTCCGAAATTTTGAATATCTTTTGATTTAAAAAAAAAAAACATCTTGATATTTAAAAAAAAACAATAAATAAATGGTCAATAATACCAATCAACCACCCATTATTTATCCGATAAAGTCGGTTTGCAACCATTACCCGACCCATAATGGTCGGACCCGTAATGGTTTTCATTTTTTAGCAAAATTTGATGGTCGGGTAGGGTAGGTAATTGGCCGATAATTGCCCGACCCGACCCATACTAGCCCTTGTCACACATACATATGTGTGTGTATTATTATGTGTAGATCAATAGTGTAAAACTATATGGTGTATTTCACCAGGTGTAGGTTATACAAAAAACGTGATTTTCTATGTCCGTCTATCAAGTTTCAATTAATTAAAATGCTTTTTATAGATTAAATTTTGAAAAAAATACAGTTTTCATCCCTCAAATTTGCACTGATTTCACATTTGGTCCGCATGTTTACAAGAAAATACATTCGGTCCATCAAATTTCAATAATTTAAAACAATTGGTCATTTCCGTCAATTTACCGTTCGTCCATCAGTGATGGATGTAAGATTGATTCAGTTAGTACTAACGGAAAATTAACGAAAATAACTAAAAATGTTGAATATTTAAAACATGAAGATCAAATATATTCTTTTGTGAATATGGCGGAATAAATATGAAAGTCGTGCAAACTCGATGGATGAAAACTGTATTTTTCCTAATAAATTTGCTGTCACAATTAAAATATTGCATCAAATTAAGTGTTAGACGTACAATTACATTTTCAAAAAAAAAAAAAAAAGTGTTAGATAATTACGGTAAGCAAAATATTGTAGTTCCAAAAATTAACAGATTCCGATATAATCAATTCAAATTAGATAATCAAATATGGTAGTGGAAAATGGTGAGTATGATGTAGATAGTTGACATCTCCCAAAATTGGGGAAATGGCGAAATGCCCTCAAATTATGAAATTTAAAATTCAGACATTTCGAAATATAAAATTAGAAGCTTTGTCAATCAAATATCTGATTAAACAAATCCCAGTTTATAGTACTAGTTCAATGATTTTATTAATTCAGAGGCTTAAAAAATGGTATCAACGGCGTCGTTTGATTTGAAAATGGTCTTATCAATTAAATTGAAAATTATGCTAAAAACTTTTCAAACTTGTTGCGAGGGTTCTGAGGTGGGGAGTGACTAAAACAAATACCGTGTTTTTCTTACTTTAATATCACCAACATAAAAAATAAACAAAAAAATAGATAATAAATAGGTAATGACATTATTACCCTTAATGAAAATCAATACCACACAAAATTTTGTGATATTGATTTTATTAAGGGTATTAATGTCACCACATATTTATTTTCTATTTATTATGCTGGTGGTATTGAAGTGAGAAAGAAACAGTATTTGTTATAGCCGTCCCCCTCTGGGATGGCCTATATGGCTAGGGTATATGTAATGGGAGAAGGTAGTGTTTGGGAGGTGATGAGAAGCTCAAAGATTAGTTCAGATAAAAGCTCAATGAACCTACAAAAGAGGAGGGCCGGTGAGTGTTTTTTCGGCGTTAGCACTCTAACGATTAAGTTAGTTGAAATATATGTAGTGGGAAATGTCAAGTGATCCAATTTACCTTTTATTGTACCTCAAGGCTGTTATTTCTACATGCCCAATGGATGGGATAGCGAGTCCATGCCTTCTTCTCCCCATTCTCCCACGTGGGGGTGACACGACTTCCTCGAACAGTTTGTCTGTAGGAGGGAGCTTTCCTTCAGTGTTGCGGGTTGGACTAGCTCCCGAGAGAAGAGCTCGCAAGTGGAAGAAGAGCTCACTATCGAGGTAAAAGTGTACTTTGTACTTGATGGGTTTTTAGGTAAAAGTGTTTTTTGTTTCAACCTATTTTAAAAGCCAGTAACCTAGCGGTTGGAGTAAGGGAGCTTGTGTCAAGTAACCCAAGTTCCAATCCTCTCGTCATCGGTCGTTAGGTCGAACTTGTCACACATGGTTAGCCTAGTGTGATTACGATACTGCGGATTTTCTCAATGCACTTATATAATTGGTTGAGGGTTTCTTCGTTACCGAAAGAAATTATCTTATACATTCTACTTATTTCATTTTATGTCGAATGTAGCTGTGTTTAATTAATGCAAAGTAGTCGGCAGAGGTTTACTAAGGTTTCAAAAATCAAACCGGCCCCCTTCAAATTTCAAAGTTGGGTTAGATTAGAAGTTTCAATCCACCACCCTTTAAGCATATTCTCGTATATAAGTAATTCCTTGCCTTTTAAGCCACCTCATTATTGCCGTCCCACGTGTGGCAGAATCAATTAGTTCCATACTCGCACGTGTGCCAGGTAAGATAGTGCTTTTTTTCTCACTCTATGGAACATAATATGAGAATGGGCAAAGTTCACTTTGCACATGTGAATTATGGGATGTGTACCGTACACACCTCTCAATTATAAAACGTATCAAATACTTCCTCACCGTTTTCGGTTTGAATATGCTGATATCATCTGTTGATTATAGTTGTTGCCTTTTTTGACCTTTTTACCCCTATGTTGGCTATATATTGTGTTAGGGCTGAAAACTTATATATATCTTATTCTTTGTTACCTTGATTCTTCCGATTTTCATTTGAAATTAGTTCTTTGCTCATTTGTTTTTTTAATTTTATTATAAAGTCCAACTTTAGTTGTCATCTTGAGCTCAATTTCATATGACAATCCTAACAAAACCACATTAGTAAATGGTAT